TAGTTAGACATTTATCTAGTTAATTGTTTTTTGATTGCAGTGTGGAATGGTGGAGTCAGCAATGAGCATAAAAGGCCTGGGTTCAAATCCTGGATTGAAATTTTAACTGTTGTGAAACTTTCAGCAAGCTATTTACTTTTTTTTTTTTTAAGATTTTATTGGGGGGTTGGGGGAGAGGAACAGTGCTGGGGAATTGGGGAGGGGCATTCTGCCAAGTTGTTGTTCTTCAATCTTAGTTGTGGAGGGCGCTAGTTGCCATCTGGCTGCCCGATGGCAGCTCGTGGTCTCTAAGCTCAAGGTGCTGTGTTCAATCTTAGTTGTGGGTGGGCGTAGCCACCATCCCATGCGGGAGTCGAACCAGCAGCCTTGTTAAGAGCGCACGCTCAATCCACTGAGCCATCCAGGTGGCAGCTCAGCTCAAGGTTCCGAGTTCAGTTTTAGTTGCGGGTGGGTGTAGCCCACCATTGAACAGGCAATCTTGTTGTTATACCAGCTGAGCCATCCTGCCACCTGTTGGCAGCTCAGCGACAGCTCAGCTCGGACGCAGCATCACTGGCCCATGTGGGAATTGAACCGGTGGCCCTGTGGCTCAGAGCTCAAGTTCTTAAGCCAACTCTTAAACAACTGAGCCACTCGGCTGGCCCTATTTACCTTCTTTATTTCCTCCTATACAATGAGTAGTAGTACTCTGTGAGGCTCGATTGAAATGATGTATGAAAACACTGGCACACCCAAGTGCCCCATAGGCATTAATTCTGTCCTTCCGTACCCCACTCCCCTTTTTTGTTTCTTTCTGCCATTTGGGTCCATTTTCTCAATAATGACCATAACCATCTCTTCCCTCCTCCCCCATGTATAAATCTCCAGAAATGTGATTGGAACATTTGAGAGGGAACGTAGATCACTTAGTTGAACCACTCATTTTACAGCTGAACAAGATGAAGTCCAGTGTATTCAAGGAACGTGACTGAGACCACACAGCTAAGGTTGCAGTCATATTGGATTGAGATTTCAGGTCTCCTAACTTCGAGTTTAGATCTAATTTGGTCCATTCATTCATTCTTCCTTTCTTTCAAGCATTCATTCATTAACATTTTCTTCGAGACGTGTCAGGTGCTGTCCTAAGCACGGGGATACTGGTTGAACAAGACAGTGAACAGAGCTTACGTCCCAGTGGAAGGAGCCTGGCAGCCTCCTGGGACAGGAGAGCAGATGTCCCACTTCCAATACACCCATGAGAATGGCATTCTCTCACCTGGGCTCCCGCAGCTGCATCTGGACCGCCTTCCGTGGCAGAGCAGCAGGGGGCACACAGCCTCTGAATCAGGGTTGGGAGGAGAATGTGCTATTCGGGAACTTGCCTGTGTTCTCACATTTTTTAGTGATGAAAGTAATCGAAATTCATTTTTACTGGGAACAAAAACCATGCCTGATCCTTTGTTTGAAAGTGTTTTCTAATCTTGATAAGTGCTTTTCTCTTTGGAGTTTGTAGGGTCCACTGACCTCATGGATGAATAACAAATTTACCATTTGTATCAAGAACACTGCATTTCAGAAGTGCTTCTGAAATTCCTCACTGCTTCTTGAGGAATAAGGAAAAGATGAGACGTTCTTTTCTGTAACTATCTGCCAGGGTCCCACGCACAGCAGGAAACACCCAACTCCCATCCCTCTTTGAGCACAGCCTGTGGCAGGAGAGTCAAGACAGACTGTGGGGAAGTCCCGAGACCCAGAGCAGATCTCAGCCAGCAGGAGTAAGCGATGCTGGCCTCCTGGTATAACATCTCCATCCCTGCGGATCCCAGGCCCTAAATATAGTGTGATGGTGGGCTCCAACTCTCTGGATTCGATCCTGCCTTCCTTTGCGCATTGAAGGAACCTGAACTATCCCTGCAACACCATCACTGCTTCTTTTTTAGCAAGAGCTCCTTATGGATCAGGCTTTACTCTTGCAGCTTAGGCTCAGCCTGATCAATCAGAGGCCTGTTTTTCGTGGGCTTTTGCATGGGGGGAATTTACACACTCCAGGCACCAGAAGGGGGGAAAATCACCAGTGGAAAGATCACAAGAGGGGAAGCATTTTAGAGAAAGTGTGTATTGAGTGGGGAGGAGCTAGAGTTTTATGAGATTAGGGTGCAGTTTTCTTTTTCCATTCATACCACCCTACCTTTTAGTTCTCTCGGATGCTATTTTGTTTCATACCAGTGCATTTGATTGGCAAGTAATATGTGGGACTTATAAACTGGTCGTTTGGTAGGAAGTATTGTGGGGAAACTGGCTCAATCTATAGAGAAAAATAAAATGGGATCCCTACCTAACATTGTAAAGATAACAGAAAAAAAGGTGGGAAACTATCGTGACATAGGGGTGGGGAAGAATTTCTTATCTGAAACTTCAAAAGCATAAAACAAAAAAACCGATGAACTTGATTACATCAAAATTAAGGATTTCTATTCAACAAATGATGCCATGAACGCTTTCAACACACACACACACAAAGGATTGAAAAAGACTGTTGCGATGTCCAAAACTAACAAGGACCTGTTATCATTCTAAACTATAGAAGGAATCCCTGAAAATCAACAGGAAAAATATACAGAAGCCCCACTAGATAAAAGGGCAAAGAATTTGAAAAAGCAATTTTCAAAAGAGTAGTCCCAACAGAATTAAGAAGTATATAATGGCATGCTTAATGTCATTAAATAAATATCATACTACAGTAATCAGTAATGTTTAATTGGCAGGTAAATGCCATAACAAATAATTGTCACTTTACACTTGTTAGACTAGCAACATTGGAAATCTGGGTGCTGCCAAGCATGGGGCAGGGAGCAGGGTGGTAGAGGCACCATGTGTTACTGGAGGAGTGCCAATTGGTGCTGTTATTCTGGAGTGCCATCTGGTCATATGTAGTCAGGTTAAATGTATTCAGACCCTGTGACCCAGCACTGCTCATGGGTATACACCCCAAAGGGCTCTCCAATGGGGCCATAAAGGAACGCGTTTGAGGGTGTTTACAGTGGAGAGGGTGGAGTCAATGGGGGAATAGATAAGTAAGACATCTTACAGTATGCAGGAGTTAGAAGCAATGCATTCGATGTACACAAGGCAACCTGAGAGGATCTTAAAAACACTGGACTGAGTAGAGAAAAACAGAAACAGACCCCCCAGATAAGACCTATTTGCATTTACATAAGTTAAAAACACTTGCTCACAAAACAGTGATCCACGTGTTGTTAGCATGTATACAAACAAAGGGCTTTACATTAAACAAATTAAAATAGTTGGGAGGCGGCAACAGGATTGGGGGTGAAAGGAAACAAACATACAAACCAACCAACCAGCTGAACTTCAGAGGGCGTTTTGTCATTCTCCTAGACCTGCAGAATGGTGACTGATGGCTGAGGAGGCTGAGCGGTCCAACTCCGACCCACTCAGCTTTAGCCGAATGCCTGACACTCAGTAGTTGCTTAATGTTTCACAAATGACTGTGAAGAAAAGTCCAACTGGTGACATCATCCAGGACTTCATCAATTCCCTGATGATATTGTCCTGCAAGTGCTGGGGAATTAATAAGGTGGGGCAGTCCTTGAGTTTGCTTGGCCCATGGGGAGGAGGTACACCGGTCCGGCCCTATTACTAGTCTGTAACTATTTTCTGCTAAACACATCCCTTCTGTAAAAAACAAAACGCCAAATTATTTCTCTAGAAGATACGGTTTATTTGGTCTTGAGTAAGACATGTGTAAAGGCTGAAGCTGGATCAAGTATCTCTCCATTGTCTCGCAGCTTCTTGGCACAAGTTCTTATATGATATTTGGTATACTATTGTCACTCTCATGCTAGCAATAGCATTTCTTCATCTGATCTGGGCAATCGCTGGCTTGGATTTATAGTTGAATTCAACCACATGGGCTTTAGTGAAATCATTACTCAGTTTTCAGTGCAAGGAGGAAATGGAAGGCCACCCTGGATTTTGACGAAATATTGGATTAAATAATTCAATAATTCTCTGGACAAAGGTGAAAAAGCGATGGGTGGAAGCATGTACGATTCTATTTGTGTATAACTGATCACCTTGAGTTTAGGAACAAAAATTGATTATCTTTCAAAAGCAGCTAAGTAGCTGCTTATTTAAATTTGAGTCATAGATAAAGCCAAAGAGAAGAGAGTAGCGCATCCAAGAGAAGAGCATTAATAGGCTGGGAGAAGGTTAAAGTTCCTGCCTTTGAGAACTGTCTGTAGGTAACGCTTTGGGAACATCCCAGGTGCTGAAACTCTGAACCAGCATAGGGAACCATCAGTGTATAACATTTCTTCCAATATTATTTCCTTTTAGTCCTTGGAGAAAAGCCAGTTCAAGTAAAGGTCATCGCTGTCATGCAGCTGGGGTGGCCTGGCTGGACACGGCCGTGCCTTGTAAACATATGCTAACCATAACACTGTATATCAGGAAGAGCTGGGAAAGGGAAGAGAGGGTCCTGCCAGGTTCCTCCGTTCAGAAAAATGAAGGAGACCCTGGCTGGGGCCCAAAGGCGGAGCAACGCCCTCCGGTATGTTCACAAAAGATGCATGTGGACTTCAGCAGGGAGGACCCAGAGAGGCCTCCAAGACTGGCTCCTCTGGGGCTTGCTCCAGAATTCTGGGCAAACTGCTGGCAAGTTCAAGGCCTTGCAGGCAGCACAGCACAGTGAGGGAGCACACTGCTTAGGAGTCTGGGCTCCTGAGTCAGATAAGCCTGGGTGTGAATCCGAGCACTGCCACTTCCTGGCTACGTGGTTTTATTCAAATTATGTTACTTTTCCAGAGCCTCTGTTTTCTGCACCTTGAAAATGGACATAATAGTACCGTGTTTCCCCCAAAATAAGACTGGGTCTTATATTAATTTTTGCTCCAACAATCTGCATTTATTCATTTATTCACGTACAAAAATCTATATTTATTCAAACAGTCATGTCTGGCTGACGATCTTAACTGGGGCTTATGTTTGGGGTAGGGCTTTTATTACAAGCATCCTGAAAAATCATGCTAGGGCTTATTTTCCAGTTAGGTCTTATTTTCGGGGAAACACGGTATATCAACTCATAAGATTCCTGTGAGGATTAGTGACCATCTGGGAACTTCGCATGCTGCTGCCTAGAACACTGAGCGCTCAATAAATGGTAGCTATGAGAGTGATTTTATTTCTAAGGCCATATGTAGTCAAGTTTCATCCTATGACAGAAATAATGAGAGCAGTACTCACAAGGCGTGGCCTTCCAGACCAAATTGGGAGCCCCCAACAAACAGCCACCTCGAGAGCTCCTTGGAGGGAGACCATCAGCATCCCATCCCCACCACGCAGTCCTGGGCCCCCTTCGCCTCCCAGCTCCAATATCCTACTTTGTCCCAAACAACCTGGCAGCACAGTAACTGGTCCCACGTTATGACCTGATAGGGATTTTTGCTTTAAGAGTTCAAGTTAAACACACTCAAGCCTTGCTATTTTTGGGTTACATAGCATTTGGTTATGCAAGTTTCATGCCCCCATGGCTTCAGTATTCTCCTGAGTTCAAGACCTAAGAGTCAGTGCAGAGAAAGATGGGTGCAGCGGCCGAGGGTGTGGCGGATAGCATCAGCTCCCATGCCCCTTCCACCATGAGGTCGGAAGTGTGTCAAGGTGGGTTTGTTGACATCGTCAGTTCTTCTGTCGGAGGCTTTACCAATGCCTTATGTTTTTAAAACTCTGGCAAGAAGTAACAACCGAGTTGGCAAGAGAAAGTATTATAACCTGAAAGGTGGGACAGGTTAGAGTCACTAGACAAGGAGCCAGACTAGGAGGAAGGGAAGGATAAAAGCATTGGAGAAGAAAGGGGGACGAGAGAAAAATGAAGTTCTGAAAGTGGAAAAAGAAATTGGAGAGAGGTGGAGCTTTCTGATGCTGATGAAGCTTGAGAATTTGGAGGTGATAATAGTTTACAAAGTGGGAGTGAAATGGTTTGAAAGCCTCAAACAAAAAATCATAATTAGGAAGCGGACTTTGAGGCATTATATGAACCATCTCCCTGTCTTTATAATTGAAGAGAAGAAAGGAAAAAAAAAAGAAACAAAGAATGCTTTGTGTCCCTATTGGTAAAACTAGGGGATTGGATTATGATCTACAAGGCCCTTCCCAAAGCTAACAATCTATGATTTATAAGTCATTTATATATATATATATATATTTAAGATTCCTTATTTGGTTAAGATACATCACTGTGGTCTGTGTAATGTCCATGAAAGTCACTTTGTGATGGATGATGTGAATGTGTTTGATTTTTTTAGTTCTCAAAAAGTCAGGATCATAATGCCCTTCAGAGTTTTAAATAGCTTATACAGTATGGTTGTTTTTTTAAAAATTGACCAGCCCCCACCCTCCAGGTATGTTCTGGAACTAATGCTGAACTTTTGGGAAAGTAAGACTTTAGACTAGAACCAGGCCCTAGAACTTTCCGGCATTCCTTTGGGCGATTCCTCTGTTTGCTCGTTGTTAAATTCTATGATATCCGTTTCCTTGGTGTCCAGGTTTTCCATTAAATACAGCACATCGGGAGGGACCGGAGAGCCCGCCACAAAGTTGATTCCACTGGTCTCTGAGGATGTTTCTGTGTCAAGTAAAAGAGCTGGCTCAGGGTTCACCGGCTCGGGACTTAGGCCTGCCAGGGAGGTGTGGCTGGACTCCAGGAATCCTGGGAGGCTCCACCTTTTCGGGAACTTGTCATTCTCATCAGGGTCTTCCTCAGGGACAAATCTGAAGATGTTTCTCTCAGCTTTGGCTGAAACAGAAGGTGTCCCCTTCTCCGAGGGGGACAGGATCAATCCTGCAGGGTCCTCCTGCTGCCCAGTGCTGCTTGGCTGAACCCCAGTAAACTCAGAGCTCTGGATGGACGCAGTGGAGTCGTGGTGGTGGTCATCGGACGTGGGCCCTGGTGCTGTGATCAGTACCTCAGGGACCTGTGGCATTTTGGTGGGGGAGGCCCTCACGCTGGACGATGGGGAGAGACTCTGTAAAGTGCTTGTCCGGCTGGTCTCCCTGATTGTGGATAGTTCTCCCAGGCTGGAGTGTAGCCTGGGGCTCCCCTCTGGGGAGTAGACTTGCTTCCGGGAAGCTGAGGCCCGGTGGGGGCTTCTCGAGGGCACATCCAGAAAATCCTTGGTTGGGCTGAGGTCGCTGTGAGGAAAGAACATGGAGCTGTCACTGGCCTGCCTCCCATAGCTTCTGCTCCTGGGGCTGGAGTGGTGTTCGTGGGCACTCAGGAACCTCTTGACTTTTCTAATCATGGAATGGCGATGGCCGTGCCTTTCATAATCCCAGAGCCACTCCTCATCAGGTAAATCGGACCCAGGCAGCCTGAAACACACAAAGACAAAATGTAGGCAGAGCAGATCCAGGGGTCTAACTTTGGTGGAGCAGAGTCTCAAACTTAAGGATGAGTTTGGTATTTTTGCATTACAGATTTTGAAATGGGGTGGGGGGAAGGTGACTTTGACTTGAAATAATCTAGCAGAAGTTCTCAAACTTTTTGGTCAAAAGATCCTTTAAACTCTTAAAATTTATTGAGCGCCCCAAAGAGATTGATTTTTGTGGGTTATAGCTATTGCTGTTTCCTGTATTAGAAATGATAACCAAGGAATATAAACAACACAAGAATGTACAAGCACACATTCCATTAACTGTTAAGTGATGACATTATCACATAGCATGCAACCTGTGGAAAATTCCACTGTATACTCATGAAAGAATGAGAGTGAAAAAGGCCAATAACATTTTAGTATTACAAAAAGGTTTTGCTATAGCTAACACTGCTGTATGATATATAGGGAAGTGTTAAAATCCTAAGAGTTCTCATTACAAGGAGAAAAAATTTTTCCTTTATTCTTTTCTTTTTATTGTATCTATATGAGAAGATGGATGTCAGCTAAACCTATTGTGTAATCATTTCACAATATAAATGAAACCATCATGCTATACATCTTAAACTTATACAGCGATACATGTCATTTCTCAATAAACTGGAAAAAAATAGTTTTGACCTTAAGAACTTGGGTCTTGGAGTCTTAGGTCCTGGGGATCTGCAGGGATCCCCAGGCTCTACTTTGAGAATCACTGATCTACAGACTTGGAGATTAAAAAAATAAAGGTATATGTTCTGTCTTTTTTTTTTTTAAGATTTTTATTGGAGAATTGGCGGAAGGGGAACAGACAAGTTGCTCTCGTTTTGTTCTTAGTCTAGTTGTGGAGGACGTTGCTTCACTGGCCCAAGTTGGCACCATCATTGCGCTCTTCCCGGGCGAGGCAGACTAGTCGCCGGCTTCTGGACGGCCGCTCACTGCGGCTGCTGGCCGCTCACGCTGGCTGCTGGCCGCTCACGCTGGCTGCTGGCTACATACGGTAGCC